CTGAGGCCGCCGGCGCCAGGGAGCCTTTTCCCTTCCCTTCCCTGGCCTTGTCGTGATGTGTAAGGTGCCAGCCTGTAATGGTACAGAGACTGACTCTTGGTTTCTGTCTGTGATTAACTAAAGTATTCCTATAAAGTCAGTTTTTACCTAATGGTACTCCGAATACGATGTTTTCAGGCTTTAATCCTTTTTGATTTAACCATAAAAGTAATTTGGGGTACTCTTCAGGAAGAAATGCAAAACTTGCCATGTCAATGGAAGGAGACGCTAATTGAAGATGAGAGGACAGATTTCAGTTAAATTAGATCTAACACCGTTGTATAACAGAAGACATCAGATTTTTTCCACTTTATTTTTTTACAATTATTTACAGTTATTTACCCAGTTACCTTCGGGGGGGAGGGGGGCTTTAGTCTTTCTCGGCTTTAAAGTTCTCCTGAAGATTGGACTCATCCAATCATTGTATCCACTTTGTTTATTTCCTTTGAGATGATACAAGATTGAGGGTCTTTATACGTATCTGGAGAGTTCTGAGCAATTCTGCTCCAAGGATACATCACTTCTCCAAACAAAATAGGTGTGGTTTTATGTTGCTCTTAGGAGTATGGCTCCTGAGAAAACGATGCTGACTTATGGAGTTTTCTGATGCATCCTAACGCAAGACTAATTTAAGATGTCAAAGATTGTTCAGGGAACATTCTGCCATAATTAACTCAAAAACTGGCATGTAGTACAAGACCTGACCTGCAATGCAACATTTGTTCTTTAGTATGTATTTCATGTGTAAGTTATTTATTGAGAATAAAAAATAATGAAGTTTTCTGCCTGCTTTGGGATTTACTTTTGCAGTCACTTTCTAAGAACTGAAAAAAATAAAATGTTTCACAGATCTTGCCAGATCACGGTCCACGAGTGAAAGCTGCATGTCCCACTAATTTCAGTGCTGCTTACAGATAAATATGCTATGGGTAGTGTCATCTTCTCTACTTGTGTCCTTCAAAGAGGATCCCTCTTACAGCTTCTGGACCTGTAAGCTTTTTGTAACGCATCGTGACCTTGAGTATCAGCAGCTTTAGTAGAATAGACAAGAAACATAACGTAATATGAACTATGTCCATTAGCTGAAGTGAAAATGAAACCTGCAAGGTCACGAGTGGAACTTTCTTGGTCTTAGCTAGATAAATTTGTTAGACCTGTTGCTGTTAGAATACAAAAATGAGGTACTTTCAGTTGTGACAGTCAAAAAAGTGATAAATCCATAAAAGATACATTCTGTCGTTAACATTAGCATGGATGTTGAAACTATCTTTATGTTCTTTTTATTTGTTCATTGTTGGCATTTGTCAAAGGGAAACTTAATTAGCTGCAGCCTCGATAGCCTAAGCCATCTGTCATCCTCACAAAAGTTGACCTGAATCCTGAAGTAACGCCATTTAACTTCTGTGTCAGTCTGGAGCAGCCATGTGGAACTTCTGGTTCATTTTAGAAGTGGAGGTTTTATTGAATTACATAATAAAGTCAGTACAAAGATAACTGTATTATTTAGTTTTCATTATATGCAGTATGTGTCACGGTGTGCTTCAGGTTTTAGCGTGGTGCAGAATTTTATGCTGGAAACAAGTCACTGTTGCATGGAATTGTTTACGTGAGTAAGTCTGACCTGCAAATGGGGCTACATTTGTATCAAAAAGAACTGGAAGAGCACAGTCACAAAATCTCTGCCCGCTACCACGGAGAGCTGCTGCCAGCTTAGACCCTTGGACTGAAGTCATCCGGAGCTGGACTGGGCCCTCTCTGTTGTTGACTTTCAAGAAGGTGACGACGCTATTTTCATTCCCTTTCCAATCACTTATATTTTTTCCTTATTCTGTGTTTTATTTTATCCCTGACACAAACCTGTGTTGCCACGGTTCTGGAGGTGGAAGGGATTTGGAAGGAGGAACCTTTCAAGACCCCATCAGGTAATTTAGGTACAATTCTTCATGCCCATCGCTTAAGGTGATCCAACCACAAAGAGCGTGTCGTTGAAAAGGACGTATTAATAGAGTATCATAAGAAGGTAAGTTCACAGCTCTACAGTACTTGGAAAGAGAAGGTGGTCTGAACATGTATTTTAGCAGTGTTCCTGCTTAACTCTTTTGGTTACAGAAATGTAACATGGGCAGCTGAAGGCGTGCACAGATTCCGCTGTCAACCTCTTTATTGTGTTTGAGAAGGAGATCTGCCAGTGTTCAGGTGCTGTCATTCAAGGAGTATAACAGCACTGCAGTCACCATTGGGACTCGCCCACTGCAGCTGATTAGCATAGTCTTCAAACACTCCCAAGAATCTAAATAAGCACTTGGGAAATCGGTTAATGTTGAGTTGTGCTTAACTGTAGTTACACTGCTTCAAACATCCCAACTAGCTATTTCAAAGTCCGCGCAGCTGTGTTAACTAAGGTCTGCCCTACTGGGATTGCAGTATAAACTTGAAGTAATATTTCAGTTACCACTTGCATGGGAATTTTTGTTACTTCAGAGCAAGAAGAAATATTAAAAAACCTACTGCAGTATTTGTTTTGTTTCATGCAAAGTTTCATGCAAGAATTTATAGTTAGGAAGAGGTCTCTTGCCAGTATGGGCAAATAATGTACTGAGCTAACGAGGGGTTTGTGGGCTGTGGGTCTTTCTTTTTTCTTTTTTTCTTTGCTTTTGTTTTTCTTGGGCATTTTTCAGAATTGAGTCACTGCGTGCAGTCGGTAAATGTTATTGAGGATGCCCAGGAAGTTTCTTTATGTTCTAAAATGTAGAAATGTAGCCATGTGCTTGGCTGTTCAAAATTAGGAGTGTTGTAGCTTGCACTAGCGATATTTTGAACAAAGTAGACACCGAGATGTTTATTTAGTGTGATAGCTGGTGAGCTATATGTGCATGTGTTTCAACGGACATTTGGTTATACCAAATTGTTTTTCAGCTCATCTGTTCTAGAGAGCTTCTGCTAATATAGCAGTGCTGGTACGGTTACACAGGTAGACTTCTCTGTGGAGGTGCAGTGTGTTTTGGGAAAAGCAGCTTTTCTGCTGATGCATGGGGAAGTATAGATTGATGCTAAACAAAATTAACTAAGCTGACAACAGCACTCCCCTGCTAACCTAGCTACACTCACACCAGGAGGATTTGCTGATAAAGTTGTGTAAGCTGGGGAGTGTGCTTTTTCATGCTTATCCTTACATCGCTGTGTCAGCAACACGCTGTAATGTAGATGCAACTGCGAGGTGTGGTTTAAGCTGACTTATTCTACAAGCTAACAAGACTACGTTTCTCTACATACATTTTTTTGTTTGCTTTAATCAATAAGGAAAAAAAATTAAACTGAATTCAAATGAGCTACTTCCATGTTCAAGCATTAGTTTCTTCACTTGTTTTTACTGCTTTAACAAACAGGTGGAAGTGCTTCTGAATGTAGCACACAGGGCTTTCTGTGGTGGCTGTTCACTGTTTCTGTTTGGTCCATGCACGTGCCTTTCTACTGAGCCATTGTATCCATCTACTTTATTGTAAATATCATGGAAGAAGTAGTTCTTTAAAATAAAATTGAGCAAAGGGAGTGAAGTTGCCAAGGAAACTAACCCAAAACCAGCATTCTGCAGAAAAAGAAAAGGGTAGTAAAAACGAAGAGAGCCACTTATATGAGGAAAGACAACAATCTCAGAGGGTAGAGTGCTTTGTGACAAAAAGATATGGGGCAAGGTAATATAAATGGGAGAAGTAGTCATGTAGAACCATGGAAGAAAGAACAAAGGGCTGTTAAAGAAAGGGCATAGCCAATAGCTAGATTGAAAGAAGTTAGACACGGTCCAGCAAGTCACATAGTCACAACAGCTCTTTCAGTGCAGTGCAATTCTTCTCCAGAAAATTGGAGAGAAAAAAAGGGGGAAGGAATCAACATGAGAGAATAATGGCCAGGAGGAGTCATCGCTGCAGACGGACAGTCATCATAGCATTTTGTAACTTCTTCTCTGTAAGTGGCCTTCCCTATTGCACATGAATTGAACAAGATTTTGAAAATAAGAGCGGACTTGCCAAAATACACTTATACTGGTAGTGCACATGTATGGAATTGTGCACACTCACACTCTGTATTCAGTAACAATGAAAGAAGACTGAAACAGAAAAGAGCATAAACAAATATGTGCTGTCTCTGGGTAAATGTCTTTGTCTCTTGTTTCTCCTAGAAGAGTGATCGATGTGGGTAGTTTTCAAAAGCTGTCATTCACTAAAATATTAGTAACAGTGCTCATGTTTACATTTCATGCATTTTTTAGATGATGGGTTTCAGTTTTATTTTTTTCAGTGTCACAGCATCAACTGATAATCTGACACCGTCTGTTGGGCGTAGCCTGGAACAGCACTCTGTGTCCAAGGAGCGCTAGCTCACTGGCAGTCCAGTGGATGAAATTGCTCTTTCCTGAGGTCTGATGCAATATGCAGTTGAGGCTTAAATGACTCAGAGGAGGAAGGACGCTTTGTAAGTGGAAGTCTTGGGTAGAAGACAGAGAAGTTCGCAAAAGCAACAAGTCCTCTTTTCAGCAGACTTCTAGTTCCTTGAAATTCCACGTTATTATGCCTCCAGTACATACAGTGAAGGTTTAAACATAGCATTGCAGCATGACAGAACTTCAAACACGGAGAAATAAATCAATGCATATTTGGCTCTAAGCCATTATAGTTCTCTTCCGTTCATTGCTGATAGAAATTTCTTTTCTTTAAATTATACAATTCAAACCAGTTTCTAAGCTTCACGTTTAACTTGCTATCAGAACAAGGTGAAAAGGAAAATCATTGTAGCATCAGTTGATTTTTCCTGAGGCTAAAAGATCTTATCAGTTATTGGGAGAGCTTTAGAGGTGCCAGAAGACCTGCTTAGTATTGTGGCTTGATGAGGAACTAGGCAATACCATTTCTCTAAAGTCAGTAAGAGTAGGCAATTCCTTGGAACAGACACAGAACCACTTCTTTCTCCAAATTCATAACAAATAGCAAAACTGTTTACTATTACTTTAATCTAAAAACTGGACATGAAATAGGGCAGAATGTAAAAGATGGGTGTCTGGAGCTTTTCTTCTGAATCTACAAATTGGCTTTTTTTTTTTTTTTAAGTATCATCTGTAATTAAATGGAGTGCAAAACCAGATTTGGGGATGTAATATGAGAGTGAGTAGATCTCAGATCCCTTAGGTTTCTTTTTAGAGCAGCCATACTCATCTTGCTAAGTGGCTTCACTTTTTTTCTTCTTTTCAAAGTTTGTATTACTGAATTTTTCAGAGAAAGTACCTGAGACAAAGTGTCTTGTAACTCTAAGAAGGAATTGAACAGCAGAATTAGGTGCTTCAGTTCAACCTCTCGGTTTTGGTCATTTTGGTTCTAATGGACAACTTCGTCTCAAATTTCAAAACGCACCAGGCATGGAGAGAATTATTTCTCAGAATTATTTACTTTTTGGTTATCCTGCTGCTCCTGTGACTGCTGATACTGACCTGCTCCGACCTGTGGTTTATAACAACCTCTGACGAATTTGTATGTAAGTCTTTGAGACTTCTTCAGTGTTGGAAACCTCCAGACCTATAAAAGTCTATAAAAGACATGTTCCCTTTAGTTCATTCCCTGGCCAGTCTGTGTTTCTCCTTCTGTTTGATCCGTTGTTCTAAACAAAGTTTCTCAGAAGATGTGTTCAGCATGGAGACATTGCATTCGGCATGCCACTGGCATCAATCATGTCCTTTGCCCCTTCCATTTTTTGGTCAAAAAATGCTCTTTAGAAGTGAATCTTTAACTCCTCCTACGTATGTAAGAAGAATGGAGACATTATGCTACACAGAAATTTTGATGGATTAGCTTCAGCAGATATTTTCAAGTGTTAGAACTCACCAAGCTGTGTGTTAATTGGCATCTACAGTTTATCTTGAGAGCATACATTTGTTCTCTGACAATCTTCATGACTGACTGCTGCAGGGTTTGGTTGGTGGTTTGGGGTTTTTTTGCTCTAGTCTTGTTTTTGACCATCCAGC